ATATGTCAAATGCAAGTTGGAAAGTGATTTTGTAGACAGACAGAAAAACACACATGCATTCACTCCCACGTGAAGTAAATATCCTCTCAAAGCCTCTTACCCCATTGTGGAAGATAACATTTGTGGACCTAGTAAAGTTTAAAGGCCATCGAGGAAAAGTTCTGTGCAGCCATAATATATGATTTACATGCACAGTATAATTCTGCAAGTGGAGTTTAAAAAAGATAGTGTGTATGTACAATCATAAACCTTACCCTTACCAGAATCAAAGGGTGTTTCAGATAGACCCTCGACTCTAGAAAATAACAGGAGTAAAGAAATTAAGATAAATTACTAAACAAAGCATTCTAAAAAATGAATAGTAACTACAATAAATGCATAACACATAAGCAGATACTCAAACTTAGCATTAGCTGGCAAGTGAGTACTCCAACTTTACGAGTGCACACCTAAACACTTCAATTTGGTCTCAACTGATAACTAAAAACTCCAACTCGTCCTCACTGTTTCTTGTGGACACCCGACTCTAACGTGACATACAAATTTTAATTTAGAGGTGTCTAGATGATCGTTTGGCAGAGTAAAAACAATTTGACGTGTTTAGATGTGCATACTCAAAGTTGGAATGTTTACATATCAGCTAAGACCAAGTTCAAGTGTTCAACTGACAGAATAAAGACAATTTGATGTGTTTAGATGTGCATACTCAAAGTTGGAATATTTACTTATCAGCTAAGACCAAATTCGAGTGTTTATTTATGTATTAAGACAAGTGACAAGAATAAATAATAACATAAATATAAACAAGAAGATTAGGATACACTGAAAAGGTTGCAAAAATATAATAGTAGTACATATCACCTTCATTAGTTGGCTTTAAATAAAAAATCTGGTGATATTGTTTCACCAAATGTGAACACTTTGAATAAATAGTTGGTGTAGAATTCCAAATTCAACAGATAATTTTTGCTCAAAATAGCAATGAGACATGTTAAAAATTGACATATATGGTGGTAGTTGGAACCACACTAGTGAAGTACCAAGTGATAGGTGAAATTTTCCACTATAAACAAAAACACTGTTGAATCCAAAATCAAATTTCTTCCATAAATTAACATCCACTTTCAAGTTATATAGTCCTCACATGCAGTCCAATAGACCACTTAATTAGAGTTAATATCTTAAAAGGTCAATGAACTATGAAAAATTATCTAACAAAGTCACTAAACTATGTTTTATATCAATAAAAAATCACTAAAGTTTAGGCTTTTTTCTTCAAAAATCATTCAACTACATGATAAACTATTTTTATTTTTATTTTGTATCTATTTAATTATAAACCCACAAACAAACAAAATTATAGAATCTATTTATTTTTATGACATATAATCATAAACCCGTAAGTAAACAAAATTATATATATATATATATATATATATAAAATTTTATTTTATTTTATTTTTTTTCTATTTTTATGCCATGTATGTTTTTTCTCATTTTGCAAAACAAGTATGTAGTTATGATATTTCTTTGGATTATTTCATATGAATACCATTTGAAACACTTGTAACCAACATTGGGAATGAAACTAAAGAGAAATAGATGTGATATATATATATAATCATGCTGGTATAGTAGTTCTAATATCAGATAAGCAAATTAATATAAGACCATTTCTTATTGCATACTAGGCTAGGCTATTTATGAACACCATTGTTAGCTAACAAAGAAAAGAAGACAACAAATATTGTGTCTGACATAACCACAAAAATAATTCCAATACTGCTGCTTTGATTTCTAGTCTTTTCCTCCTTCTTTTGATTCTGAACTTCAATAAAATACTCCTCCATAACTTTTCTTTTAAAGAATCTGCGTATCTTAGAAGTAAAGAAAGAAGTAGAAGAAATGGTTCTACAATTTGTGGGTAGATCGAATATAATGATAATAAAATAGATTCTAAAATTTGGGTTCATATTTAAATAGCATAAAATATTAATTTAATTTATCATGTCAAATTTATTTGTAGTTAAATGATTTTTGAAGATAAAAGTGTTAAAGTTGAATGATTTTATTGAGTTCAGTGACTTTACTAGATAATATCAGTGATATTTATTAACTCCTTAATTAGTGCCATTGATAGTGACATTTCAAAAAACTTCCCATTATATATTCTCTTGACCAACCTTAATTTTCTTGAGGCCATTCTACACCCTCTATTTTCACTCAAAGAAAAGGCAAATTTTCAACAAAACTTTGTGTCAACAACCACTTTTAAGAAAGAATGAAGTCATCACCAACTCATTTCTTCTTTAAACATAATAGTATGCTTCTAAGGCTTCTTATATTCATACTAGGCATTTGCTCAATAAACAGAAGTAACCTCTGTTGTGATCAACTTTTTGCCACCCCTTCAAGTTTCTCAGTGATTCAATCATCACTGAAACAGTTAAAGATTGAAGGGTACTTTAGTTTCAAGAATTTCGATCACGTCGCCAAGGATTTCGGCAACAGATATCACTTCCTTCCATCAGCTGTTCTGTACCCGAAATCGGTTTCAGACATATCATCCACTTTAAAACATATTTTTGACATGGGAACAACAACTGACCTAACTGTTGCTGCTAGAGGACATGGTCACTCTCTAGAAGGACAAGCTCAAGCTTACAGGGGAGTAGTGATCAGCATGGAATCGCTTCGAGCACCAGCGATGCGTTTCCACCATGCAGGGGAACTGCCTTTTATTGATGTCTCTGCTGGAGAACTTTGGATAAACATCCTGCATGAAAGTCTTAAACTTGGATTAACACCAAAATCTTGGACTGATTATCTTCACCTTACAGTTGGAGGTACTTTGTCGAATGCCGGAATCAGCGGGCAAGCATTCAAACATGGACCTCAGATCAATAATGTCTACCAACTTGAAGTTGTCACTGGTATGTTCATGCACAACAAGTTTATTATGCCCCAGCTCCATAATATCAGCCAGACTTGATTTTTTTTGTATTCATGGCCAAACAGGCAAACACAACTCCAATTTTCAGATATCATATTTCACTTTTGAAAACAAAACTACTTTTTTCAAATAGTCACAATTTTCAAAGTCTTCCCATTTTTTCTATTTTATTCAATAGTACCAATCAGCACCTAAAAGTCATATGATTAATTAGTAAAAAAGTGATTACATTGTGGACTTGGACTCAACAAAGTCAGCAACAGAAGGCAATTCTGTTACAACAAGTCATCACCTTCTTCTTTTTCTAACTTCTGGATACTTAACTAAAACTATAGTGGAAAAATCACATCCCTCCATTTCTGTGAGTTGGATTGTTATGTATTATATTGCTGGAGGTTATTAAAAATAATATTATTTTTTTCACAGGTAAAGGAGAGGTGATTACTTGTTCAAAGGAGCAGAATGCTGACCTTTTCTATGGTGTACTAGGAGGACTAGGCCAGTTTGGTATCATCACAAGGGCTAGGATTGCTCTTCAACCAGCACCTAAAAAGGTAATTTTTCTGACTCCTAATATCAAATAAGTTTAACGTTAATCGGAACAAGATTTAAGGAGGAAAAAACAGGGGAACAAGCCAGAAATTTCTACTAAAATCCAATTGTTAACAGGTAAAGTGGATCAGAGTGCTGTATTCAGATTTCTCAACATTTTCCAATGATCAAGAACAGTTGATATCATCCAAGGATTCTTTCGACTATGTAGAAGGATTTGTTATTATCAATAGAACAGGATTGCTGAACAACTGGAGGTCTACTTTCAATCCTAAAGATCCACTTCTAGCCAGAAAGTTCAGTTCTGAAGGAAAAGTTCTCTACTGCCTAGAAGTTGCCAAATACTTCAATCCAGAAGACACCCCTAATACTGATCAGGTAAGCTATTTTCTAAAGTCAAGTTTATTAAGCTTCTATCTTATGACTACCTTACACAATGTTCACCTAAACATGTCAATATCTTGACTGTTGTTTTCTTAATACTACAGAATATTGAAGTCCTCTTATCTAAGTTGAATTATATCGAATCCACGCTGTTCCAATCAGAAGTCTCCTACGTGGAATTCCTTGACAGAGTCCACGTGTCCGAGATGAAACTCCAAGAGAAGGGGTTATGGGATGTCCCTCATCCATGGCTAAACCTTTTAATTCCAAAGAGCAGGATTCATGACTTTGCACAAGAAGTTTTTGGGAAGATTCTTACTGACACTAGCCATGGTCCTATACTCATCTACCCAGTCAACAAATCGAAGTACGGAAATCATTATCACTCGAATAATCTTCTTACAGTATGTATGCATCTTCCTAACATGATGTATGATCATTTTGTGTTGCAGATGGATAAAAGGAACATCAATGGTTGCGCCTGAAGAAGATGTCATGTATTTAATAGCATTTCTATCTTCTGCCATGCCATCTTCAACAGGAAAGGATGGACTAGAACATATTCTGAATAAGAACAAGAAGATACTGAACTTTTGCAATAAAGCACATATTGGAATGAAACAGTATTTGCCACATTACACTGCACAGGAAGACTGGAAAGTTCACTTTGGCCCTCGATGGGAAACATTTGCTAGGAGGAAATCCACTTATGACCCTTTGTCTATCCTAGCTCCTGGACACAGAATTTTTGAAAGAGCATCACTCCTTCAACAACGATAACTTCTTCCAATAAAATAAATAGCTATATAAAGTTCTTTACATAGATCTATGGTTACAATGCTTCACAACGTACACATGTAACAAAGTTGAAGCATCGTAGCATTCTTTTTCAGAAAGAACTATCTTTGTACATTGAATACCTAAAAACTGGCAGCGACTCTGATGCTTGTGCTTAGGGGATTTGATTAAAGATTCAGTAAGATTCCACTCACGGTTGACATTTTAATTTTGCATAATGGATTTTAATATGGAATTCCAATCTCCAACACAACAAGATACATCAAACCGGAAAATGCACAAAGGAGAAACAATAGATTGACAAGTAAGCATGTTGCTAAAAAGATCCATCGAGCTTATAATTAATTTCATTAATGGGGATATGATTTATTTCATGAAGAACCATAAGACACATAAGGGAACGTTCAATCAACAGAAGAAGAACTGAGAGTTTAAGAGTGCCAGTAAACTGGAGAACACCTTGGAGTCCACCTTAAGTTGTACCATGGTTAGATCTATTTCTTTGCAGGTTCTGTCCAGCCAAGGCCTGGTCGAGTAATGCTTTCACGTTGCCCTTCATAGTCCCATGCATCACGAATAGAAGCTTCAAAGTCGGTGGTATCAGCTGCCACAGGAAGAACACTATTTAAATCGTCTCTTGCTCCTAGACCTCCGGCTCTTATTACGTCATCCATAGTGATATCTGCTTCCATGTTTACATCGCCATGAGATTTCTCATGTGCTGGGGCCACATAAGCTGCAACGTTTTTACCACCTTGACCTTGATTCACTTCAGATGTCTCTTTCACAGAAGCCTGCTGCATTTTTCTATAGGACTCAATGCCTTCACTCTTAGCTGCAGCTAAAGATGTGTCATGTCAGGGGAAAGACATTATTTATTTTTTGCAACATTTGGAATTGATTAAGATCAGACACAATTTATTATCATCTAATTGGACAACTGCTAAGTTTGAGAACACCTCGCATACATTCTATCGATGAGAAGATTCATGAAAAGATGAAATACAGAAATTGTGATAACTACCCTAGGAGACAATGCGTTAGAGCTCTTTCTTCGACAAAAAGAGAATGATCCCCTTTTTTATTGTTCCTTCCTTTGCAAAAAGAAGGATGGTAAAATACTACATTTAGGATGCACTAAATCCTTATATCTTCAAGGTAGTTGGTATAGCCTTAAGATCCCTCACTTTGTCCTTCAAAGAACATCTTATCCAACTACTAACTGGGAAACTTCTTAAATTAATTTTTGATCAAGATACCACTAGTGTAGTGGCGGAGCCACATGTAGTTGAGCGGTGTCGACCGACACCCCTTCGTCGGAAAATTACACGGTGTAGCTAGAGTAAAAATATTTTTTATGTATATATATTACCTATCGACACTCCTTGACTTCTACGCGATTTTACTTCTTTATATTTTGACACCCCTTAGTCGAAGTTCTAGCTCTGCCATTGCACTAGTGGGTCAATTCAGCATATATTAATAGTAACCACCAGAAATTCAAATGACAAAGACATCTTCTTCTTTTTTGATGGATCAAATGACAAAGACATCTTCTTTTTTGATGGATCAAATGACAAAGACATCTTCTTTTTTGATGGATCAAATGACAAAGACATCTTGTTGGGATAATACATTCAAGAACTTGAGTAATGAATTTTTGATGACCAACTGAGTAATGAATTTTCGAGTAACTTAAGGGTCAAATACTGATGTAGGGATAAGAATTCCCACAACAGACCGAACAGGAACCCTCTTCTCCCTAACAGTGTTGTGCCTTGATCAACTCTGTTTTCTTAACTAAGGAAAAGAACTTGACTGAAAAAGAGAGTGAGAAACGAGTATGTTATTTCTCTTGGGAAGGAGGGGAGTTATTAACTTCTACAGGGCATTATTTACTCTTGCTAAAAAGAACATTTTGTCAGTTTCCTAACCAAGTAGATACATCATCTCCTGCTAAGCAGAGGACGTTACCTAATCTTATTGATAATCATTCTGATGTGGCGATGCCAGTGTGTTTTGCAACAGCCTTCCACCCTTAATTTTATGGTGATGCACTTCATTCTCAGAAAGTGAGGAGTTTTTGCAAAATATCGAAATGCCCTCCTGTGTTTTGAGGATACCCCCCTGCTCTAGAAAACTGGTACACTTCACTTCAAGCAAGTCCTGCACCTTAAATTCCACACAGCCCATCAACGGTAATATCTATCTACTTAGCCTTGAGGAGCGTTTTGATTTTTCATATTGCCTATCCAATTTTTTGGGTTCCGATAATCCACCACATCGTTTCCCACCTTATTATTTTTGATTTCCAACATCCTTAAACTATTTTCTGATCAATATTACATGCTTTAACTATTTGGTTAGCTTCTTCCAATGATATACTTTTATGTAAACCCCTAATTAAACTCTTTCAGATACCAAAAGACATATACAATTCTATAATCTGTTGGAAATTTAAAAGCAACAAACCTACACATAAATTAATCGTTTTCAGAACAAACAGAAATATTGTTAGAAGACCAGGGGTACACGATGGGCAGAATGGAGACCTAAAGCCGAAATACCTTGTGAAGCTCCAAGTGTATCGTGGTCCATGTTGCCTAAATTAAAACAGAAGTTAAGATTTCCGCTAGCAAGTACCTTCACCACTTAAGATTTCCACTCACAAGTATCTTCACCAGCTCACAACCCCTCGACAGAACATTCAAAAACCCAGTAACAGCAGCAGCATCTATTATTATCCAAGGACAAGAAACCATGAACGTACACTACAAAATAAGACTATATACTAAACAGCCAAGCAAATGAGGAAGAGAAGATGAAATACACTTCTCAAAATTTGTCAGATTAAGACTCAAGTTTTGAAACCAAATGATTTTTGTCACTGCATACCATTACTCGTGCTTATTTTCTCCACTTTCAAACAAGACAAATAGAAGACTTAACACGCAATCTACCAATAGAAATTCCAGTCATTTCTTGAACTAGTTACCAGTCTTGCCTACCTTAACTTTCTAATCTTATATCATCAGTCACTAACAGAGACAAAAAGGAGAGCAGAAGCAAGCTAGCATTTTGGTTACGGATTCGGCCAAACCCAGCAGCTTTGGTTCAAACCGTGTAATTTGTATAAAAGTTTCGTTGAATATGTTTATACTATTAATTTAAAACCCTATAACTTAAGTCTCTAGTCTCAAACATATAAATATCAAACCTTGACTCAGCCTCTGAAGGTGAAGAAATATCAATTCACTCCAATCATTTCAACAAAAACTTGCTTGTACCAACTAGATAAATTTCTATACTTTATAGTACCCTTTAAGTATTTTTTGTGTCAAAGAATATTAGATGTTTCAAGAATTTCTGCAGAAGAGCAGGTGTGGCTGCAAAGACCCTTTGAGGAGGAGGAAATTTTGGGAAGCTTAAACATGTGTGCAAAAGAGAAAGCACCTGGCCCTGACGGATTCCCAATGATGTTTTTCCAAACATTTTGGACCCTATTGAAGGAATATATTATCAAAACTATTCAGTTTTTTCACTCCAATCAAGTTTTTGAAAAGAATTTTAATGCAACTTTTATTGCTTTAATTCCAAAGAAAGCGGGAGCCTCCAATTTGAAGGATTTTAGACCAATCAGCTTAGTAGGGGGTGTCTACAAACTCATTGCTAGGCTGTTGGCTGAACGATGGAAGCAAGTGTTGGATAAACTGATCAACAAACATCAGATGGCTTTTGTGAAGGGGAGACAAATCATGGATGCTGCACTCATAGTTAGTGAGTGCATTGACTCCAGAATAAAGGAAGGAAGCCCAGGCTTAATGTGCAAACTGGATATCCAAAAGGCTTTTGACCATGTAAATTGGTCTTTTCTCTTAAATATCCTTAGCCAGATGGGCTTTGGGGACAAATGGCTGAAGTGGATTGAGACATGCATCAAAACTGTTAAGTTCTCTGTGCTTGTGAACGGAGAACCTGTGGGTTTTTTTGAATCAGAAAGGGGACTGAGACAGGGTGATCCTCTCTCCCCTTTCCTGTTCATCCTAGCAATGGAGGGATTTAATGCTATGATGAGGATTGCTACACAAAATAGATGGATCAAAGGCTTCAAAGTGGGAGGCAGAGGGGGGAAGAAAGAGAAATTGGTCATATGCTCTACGCAGATGATACCATCATCCTTTGTGATCCTGTAGAAGAACAGATAAGCTACATTAGAGTGATATTGGTACTTTTTGAAGCAGTCTCTGGATTGAAAGTGAACTGGGGAAAAAGTAGTCTCTTCCCTGTGAATGAGGTACCTCAGATAAAAGAGATGGCAGGCATACTAGGGTGTAGTGTTGGGAAGCTGCCTACCACCTATCTAGGCATGCCATTGGGTAACAATCACAAAGCCTTGGAAATATGGGATGGTATTTTGGAGAAAACTGAAAAGAAGCTCTCTGGATGGAAGGCTCAATATCTTTCACTTGGAGGACGATTGATCTTAATAAACTCTGTTCTTGATTCTCTGCCCACTTATGTGATGTCTCTATTCCCAATCCCAGGAAAAGTAGTGGAAAATCTGGATAAGCTAAGGAGAAAATTCTTATGGCAAGGCAACAAGGATGGAAAAGGCTATAGCTTAGTAAACTGGGAAACTGCTCTACTTAGCAAAGACAGAGGGGGGCTGGGAATTAAGAATTTGAAACTACAGAATGAGAGCCTATTGAAGAAGTGGTTGTGGAGGTACACTGAAGAGAGAAATTCCCTTTGGAAAGAGGTGATCATAGCAAAATATGGTGAGTTAAACCCTTGGTGTACAGAGATCACAACAGAACCTTATGGTGTGGGTGCATGGAGATCAATTAGAAACTTGTGGTCACAAATGGAGACAAATTTATATATCAAGGTGGGAAGTGGCACTAAAACAAAATTTTGGAAGGATGTTTGGATAGACCAATCCCCTCTTAGAGATCTCTTTCCAGATCTCTTTCAAATTTGTGGAAATCCTGATGCCAATGTTGGCGATTGCTGGACTGAACAGGGCTGGGATCTAGTTTTTAGAAGACTTCTCAATGATTGGGAGGTGGAAAGGGTGGCTGAGATATTAGGGATGCTAGGCGGAGTGACCATCAATGCAAATGCCACAGACAGGATGTTGTGGAAGCACAGCAAAGATGGCCTCTTCTCAGTCAACAGTGCTTACAGAAGAGGTCTCCAGGTGATGGCAGGGAGACCAACACACCTCTGGAACTATTTTTGGAAGGGGGATATTCCTACAAAAGTGAAATGCTTCACTTGGCTAGTGATAAAGAGAGCTTGTTTAACACAAGAAGTACTTCAGAAGAAGGGTAGACAGCTGGTCCCTAGGTGTTTTTTATGCAATTTGACAAGTGAAACTAACAGCCACCTCTTCTTGCACTGTAATTACACTGCTCAAATCTGGAATTTGTTCCTTAGCATCTCAAATCTGAATTGGACAATGCCAGAACGTACATCAGACGTGTTGAAGAGCTGGGTAAGAAGAGGGGGTACCAAGAGCCAGAAGAGATGGTGGAGGTTAATACCATCATGTATATGGTGGTCAATCTGGAAGGAAAGGAACAGTAGATGTTTTGACAATAGATCCAATTCCATACACAAGGTCAAATGGAATTGTATAGTATCTCTACTTTTTTGGTGTAAACAGTTGTGTATAGTAGATACAGATCAGATTGTAGATTTAATAGGAAGTTTGTAATTGACACTTTTTGGTGGTGGCCAGCATGCCCTTAATGCTGAAGAATACAACCTTACCAGTTTCAAAAAAAAAAAAAAAAAAGTATTTTTTGTGTCAATATATCCTTCTACTTCTCGTTTTGTCTTCTTTTTCTTTTTTTACTTTTTTAGGGGAATGATTAGTGGAGTTAGCACTAACTTGTGTGTGCCTTGACTTATTTACTGCGCAGACAAGTTAACCTGCACACCAAGTCTAGAGCAGATGGGATCATACTGAGTGTTGTGAGTGTTGTAGCTAGGACCAGGGGAGGAGCAAGAGGGACGAAATGGGTTCCTAATTCATATAAGGTCCAACAAAACATTATGTATACACCATACATGTTGAGCTTGAACCCCTTAGCGAAAATCCAGCCGCCGCTACTAGCTAGGAATCAAACAAAGAATCCTCAAGTTGTTCCTCCTATGCCTCAACCACTCAGCCGCCTATCATAGACTTCAATCTTGACTTTGTTATTAGCCCTCTTTACATTGGTAAACATACATCCATCTAGAAAGATCAACACATACATATATATTACATATTCAAGACAAAGACCACTTTTATTATGAATCTTTCAAAATAAGTTCAGTCATTTCAAAACACTAACTTCCTCTTCATCCCTCCTCCACCAATAATTAGCAATTTTTGCAAGAATTAATTTTCATCCCTCATCTAGAAAGAGAAGGTGAAAACATACTAGAACCAACAACAACATACGCAGTGTAATCTATCCCACAAGTGGGTCCTGGGGAGAGTGATATGTACACAGCCTTGGATTAGTGATAATCAGCAATCGATTTCTAGGTTTCATCATGAACCTAATTGGTTATTTCCAATTATGGAAAACTGTAAATCAATGTTCAAACCGCACTCCTACCTTGTGAAGGTAGAGAGGTTCTTTCACGATAGACCCTCGGCTCAAGTAAAACATATAAAAACAAGTACGTAAAGCAAATACAATAGCGCGCAGAAACCATGCTGAAAACAACAAAGAAGAGAAACACAGCAAAAAACAAAATAATACGATAATTGAAGCAAACGAGACATCAGGTAATACTAAAATCAAAGAACAAAATCTTAGCTAGAACCATCACAAGAAAACAAGTCATCCATTGAGAAATACTCAATAATAAGCAGCAAGCACTAAAAAGAACCAATCTTTTTCAAGAAAAATCCAATCTTGCATATGTTTATGCATCTGTTGATTAATAAAACACAACATCAATGTATCCACTAAATTAGAGATTAAAAGGGGTTAGCAGACTGACCAAAATGAAGAGAATAAGCAAAAGGGTATCTGCAATATCAACTATTCTGCTATTCTGCCGCACTCTGTTATGGGATTCTTGAATGTGATTTTTGTTTATGCGGGTGTTGAGTGGAGTTGACAGCGCAAAATATACGTGTAGTAGAGAAAGACAGAACACGTATCTTTGTCGTTTTGCAATGCTGCCAACTTATGAATTGGAATTCTAGCAAAAGTTACCCCAATGGCCCAATCTTGATTTGTGCACATTTTATTGGCCCAAGTGTTTGGTGTTTTTTGAGAAAATAATCAAAATGGTCCTTCATGTATGAATATTGTTTTATGTTCATCCTTGATATATTTCATATTTTATTGGCCCAAGTGTTTGGTGTTTTTTGAGAAAATAACCAAAATGGTCCTTCATGTATGAATATTGTTTTATGTTAATCCTTAATATATTTTATATGATTCATATGATTCTTAATGTATATAAAAAAAATGATTATTTTAGTCTTTTAACCCTAAAATTAACCAAAAAAAAAGACGGTTAAATTTAACATATTTGCTTTCTTTCACCGTCACCACCATAAACCCTTCTCCTCAACTTCTTTCTTTTGCCATTTGAGGTCATACTCTATATCCTTATAAGAAAAATAATATACACTGCATCCATTTCTCATCTCCATCTAAACAAAATTTTCAGAAGCTTCCATTATCATACATAAAAAACAATAAGACAACCAAAATCATTAAAACAAATGTAAACTAAGTAAATCAAATTAAAGACTCAATTTCTCCTACTAGGAGATCACCATAAATCAACTCTTTTAAAATTGTAACTAGTTATTCTTTCTTGTCGAGGTGATTTATGGGGAGGATATAGCTTTCTTTTGTTTTATTCTTTTCAAAATCACTAATTTTTTCAAGCCATTTTTTAATTCTATTTTTAAAATTAAAGGGTAAAAATTGAACAGACAGATGTAGAAAATAAATATCTTACAAATATTCTTTTGAAATTTGAAGAAACTTTTCTGTGCATGAGAAGATTTTGGCAGCACAAGTTGTAGAAGAAATGAAAAAAAAAAAAAAAATGAAGGAGAAGAACTGTGCAAGAAAGATGGAGGAAGAAGGGTCTCAGTTGTGGGACCCACAGTTAAGTTTAACATTTTTTATGTTTTCAATTAATTTTTAGGGCTAAGGACCAAAATGATCCTTTTTTATAATACATTAAGGGGTCGTTTGGTAGGCCGCATTAGAATAAATAATCAATGTATTATGTATGGTATTATTTAGTACTATGTTTGGTAGGAATTTGGACCTATGTATAACTAATCCATGGATTAGTTATACATTCTACGTGGTATTATAGGATGTATTACTAATACCTTCCATTTGGAGGTATTAGTAATATATAGGATATAATACCATGGGATAAGTCTATGTAAAGACAATAATATCCCTCAAATCATTTTAATTATTTTGCTTATTTTCTTGACTTTATGTTTTATATTTGTACTAGTAAATTTATTTAAATAAATTAGCTTACAAATTATTTAGAGAGAGTTGTTTGTTACTCCTAAATAAATCAAATACAAATTTAAAATGAGAGTTATTTAACATTTACTAATTAAAAAGATGAATATATCACTACATGGCGTTTGTGATCTTAATTGAATATATATATACACTAGCAAGTAGCATATGACCTGGTAATGTTTGATTTTGCAAAAGCAGAATTTGCGCAACTCGAGTAGCCATAGATTTCCACAAACTCTACATTAAGGTTAAACAAACATTTCCACGGACTGTTTTAACACACATTTGAACAATAAAAATGTAACTCCAGAAACTAATAAATTTAACTTTACTTACCGAAGACCTGAATGCCATTGAAGCAAAATATGAGTAGTCTTAACAAAGGCTAATTTAAGTGTTGTTGAGATATATGGTTCTTCATTATATATATATATTTAATTAAAACTACAATTTTCAATTTTTATGTGTAAATATAGATGGTTTATACAATTTTGTCATTGTTGACCGTCTTTTCTATTTTAAAAGTAGATAATTTGTTTCTTTAAAATTGAAAATTGACATTTTGTGAGTGATCAATTTATTAAGATGACAATTATTTATCCTCAAATAATTCAAGTGAAAAAAATACAAACATGACAACAAAATTGTTCTTCTCATGGCTAGTTAGAAAACCATTAAAAAGTAATGGAGAAAATTTTACGTATAGCAAATTAAAAATTGCTAATTGTATGCTATAGCAAACTTTATAAAATTGTAGTCCGTAGCAAAATTTTAGTTTGCTACAGATATGTCTTTCTATATATTCGCTAGTCAGTCTTTTTTTTTTTAATACATTTTGATTGTTTTAAAAAATAAATAAAAAGGCGCGTTAATTTAATTTGTGTATGTAATTATTTATATATAAATGTATATGCAGAATGTGTATATAAACGTTTATATGAGTATGTAATGGGAATATGTATATATGTGAATAACTGAAGTTGCTAGAATTTGTATAAATATATGTTTTGTTTGTTGTTGAAATTCTTAATCGTATAAATGTATATGTATATATAACTTATTTTTTTATACATAAATTTTGAAAATGGCTTCATTAGCTATTTTGGTTATGCATTCCGGTAGATGGGACAATGACAATTGTTACGTTGATTATACAATTGAGGGGGTGATTTTTAAAGAAAGTTCATCATATAAGGAGTTGTATAATGTTATTGCAATGCAACTCGGTGTTGATACAAATGTGATTAAGCTGAAAATTGAGTATAAGGTTAAAGAAAGCAAAACGTCAATGTTGATTCACATATTAAAATTGACATTAGTGTATAAGTGTGAGCAAATATGTATGTTTAAAGGAACATTATACAATAATTATTAATATTATACATTTATACAACCACAATTTTATAAGCAAACAGTAGAAGACATGAATCAACACAAAAAATATAAAAATAATGATTATACAGTCCAATGACCCACATGATTATACAGTCCAATGACCCACAAACAACAACTTCAGTTTTATCATTGTGATTAATATAAACGTCAGTTTTATCTTTCCTTTTTTTACTTGACCCAGAAATAAGTGTATAAGTGTGAGCAAATGTGTATGTTTAAAGGAACATTATACAATAACTACTAATATTATACATTTATACAATAACAATTGTATAAGCAAACAATATAAGACATGAATCAACACAAAAAATGTAAAAATAATAATTATACAGTAAATGACTGAAAAAAAATAAGTTATATATAGTGTAAATTTCATATATGACATATATTATAGTATTATTTTCAGGCTATAGCAGTAGATTTAGACTTTCAAGCTATAACATTAAAAATTTCAGGTTATAACAAATTAACAAATAAAAGAAAAGTTTTTATTAATTCGAAAAAAAGTTTAAAAAAAATGGAATTATAGATAATAAAATAAAAAACGAAAAGTGTGGCCTGTAATTTAATTTGAATTTATTGTAGATAATTAATGATTAGTATGAAATAAGGGATTCAAACAAATTAACAATATTTTTTATCCTTAATTCACTCAAAATCAGTTAAGATAAATTAAAAAATCAGATCATATCATTCTTTTGTAGATAATTAATAAATAACACGAATTAAGGGATTTAAACTAATTAAGATTATTTAGTATCCTTAATTCACTCAAATCAGTTAAAATCAAATAAAAATTCAGATTTTATCTTCTTCTTTTTTCAACGTTTCTCTCTCTTCAATTTGCAACAAAAAAAATTCAATGTTTCTCTCTTCAATTTTCAACAAAAAAAAATCCCACATTCGAGTAATTTAAGTTTTTTTTCATCTTTGAAAATTCTTGATTTTGTTGTGATGGACAACTACGTATCAGTTTTAATCAAACATGGTGAAAGATGGGATCCTTCATGTTAGTATTTACTATTGTTTAACGTTTGTTTTAGAATGATAGCGAAATGGAACAAAAATGATCAAACTGTCGATTAATTGAAGGCGGAGTCATATTTTGTTAATTGTTGATATCATATTATGTTTACTGTTGTGAAATGTAAAAAAAATTAGTGTTTTTTTTTTGTTTATTTGTTTATTTTGTATACGGTTATTGTTTTGTGAAATTATAAATTTAATGTGATTTTATGAATAAATTTGATAGAATAAATTAAATGAAATTTGTATGAAAATGTGTTAATTATTCTGTAAAAATAATTTAATTATAATGTTGACGAATTTATGAAAATTTATTTTATTTGATAATGAATTTGATAGTATAAGTCGAATGAATTATGTATGAAAAGTGTGTTAAGAAATATGTAAAAAAAATTGGAATTCTTGATGAAGTGTATTACAAGTGTTTTAAATTGGTATTAAATGTGAAATTGTTGAGTTTATATTAGTTTTGTTATTTATGTATAAAGTTGGGTGACAGTAATTAATTATTTGGGACGAGAAATGTATATAGTTTGAATGAATAATCGTTTTGTATGAAATGTGTATTAAATGAGTATGAAAATGTATAAATTTGGTATGAATGATGATTGTTGTATGAAATGTGTATTAAGTGAATATTAAATGTGTATTAAGTGAATATTAAATGTGAAGTATTATGTTTTGTATGAAATTTGTTTTGTAATGTACTGTCTGAATGATATTTGTATGAAAACATAATGACAAGTGTGTATAATTTTGTTGTTATTATAATGATTTTTATGGATGAAATTTGTATTGTCTTTGAAATGAAAAGTTAATATTATTTAACATATTTCTAATTGATTTGTATAATTTTAGACTAATTTTTATTTTTTTTAATGAAACATAGAATTATGTTGATTTTCAAATGAAATGAATTATATATGAAAAAGGGTTGCTGATGTGAAATTCAAAAGGTTCAAAGTTACTTGCAGTAAATGTTATCAAGTTGGCCACAATGTGAAGCATGTTCAAATTATCCAGTGCAAAACTAATGATTGTTTATTTGTTTAGACTATATATGTTTTTTTTATTATTTTGTCGTTTAGATTAATGTTTTATTTTGATATGAAACATAATTGATTTAAAGTGCATTATAAACTTAGTATTTAATATACTGTTCATTCTTTATACATTGTTCATTCATTAATCATACATATTGCATACTGTTAAAAATAAAATTTATTCCAGCTTAATACATAAGATAGTG